CTCCTGGATGTGTACCAGAACTATTTTCTCAAACAGCTTGCCTAGGATCGAGGTAAGACTAGGATCAAGGATTTGAAATGTTCTGTTGTTTCCTGATGCAAACTGACATCCCCATTTTTTCCAAATCTTTTTTTTATCTTTCCCCCACCCCTTTGTTTCTCATATCTACCTGCAGCAAAATGGAAAAAGAGAATAAAGAAGTGGAGGTAAAATATGGGGAAGAGAGAAGGAGAATGAGAAAGAGGTTGAGAGACAACAGAAAGAAATGTGAAACTGAAACATATCTGGTTGAGTCTGTGTGCATGTGAACACCCCCCCCCCCCACCCACTAGGGGTGTGCGAAGCGGGCAGTATTCAATTCAGATTTGGCCTGATTTGGGGGACAGTGATTTGATTCGCTGATTCAGATCACTGTTTCGATTCGATACGGCTGAATCCAAATCTGAAGATTTGATTCTGATTCAGAGAATCATCGATTTGTCCATAGACACAACTTTGTATGTTTTTTCTACGTACCTTGAGGTACCAGGCGTGGCTCGTGAACGCTGAGATGGTGGGGAGGATGGAGAGTCCCATGGGAGTGCGGGAGGGGGGTCCCCTGCACGCTCAGCAGCAGACCCAGAAGTACTTCTGGGTCTGCTTCTGGGTCCACCACCAAGCGCACAGGGGACTGCCCCTGCACCCTCAGCAGCAGACCTGGAAGTGGACCAGAAGCACTTCTGGTCCACTTCTGGGTCTGCTGCTGATGAGCGTGCAGGGGGCCCCCCCACTCTCCTGTGCAATGCTCCATCCGCCCCACCATCTCAGCATTCATGAACCGTGCCTAGTACTTTGAGCTATGTAGAAAAAACATATAAAGCTGTGTCTATGGCTGAATTGTTGAATCTCTTTGAATTGAATTGGAGGCTTCCGATTCAATTTTGACAGATTAATGCATCTCCTGAGTCAATTTGGATTCAGAGATTCAGCCGCCGAATCGGGCCAAATCTTCTCCAAATCGAATCAGCGACCAAAGCTTTGCACTTCTCTACCACCCACCAATCAAATCCAGTTCTTTTAAACTTTTGCAGACTTTTTTTAGACCAAGTCTACTCAGGCCTTTGTTCCACTGAAGACTAATCATCTCAACCGTAAATTAATTTTCATGTCATGATTCAACAAAGCATTTTTATAAAGTTACTTGAATTTAATCTGCTAAAGCTCTATAGACTTCACTAGTACTACTCACATATTTAAAGTTAAGTATTTTGCTGAACTGGAGCATTACATTTGGTTAATGAGTACATAAATTGTTCAAGTTGTGTTAAGAAACCGCTGAATATGTTTGTGGATTGTGATGTAGTATAGCTAGTTTTCTTTTCTCTTCTTCTCTTTTTTAACCTTTCAGGGAACATTTTCATTGGAGAATTCTACTCAGCAGTGCACATTAGTCTTCACTGGCTAGACTGGTTAGTTTAAAGCTAGCTTGGGTACTTCTTTACTAAGCTAGTCTGAAGTGTAGGCATACCTGAGTTTCTAGGACCTTGTGTATGTCGCACTAGGTTGAAAATGCCCAGTTGTGGCTAGGTCGGTGGACTGATGCCAATGAGGATGCAGTTTATGATTAATATGCAATATTTATTCGGCTTTAACCTATAAAATATTGACAACTCAAGCAAATGATTTCCTATATAATACTATTCTATGACAACACACAATAATCAAACAATCAAAGCTGGGAAGCGATATCTGTTGGGTCACGAGGTTCGGGTCAAGGCCCCTTGCTTTCAAAACCACGAGTGGTTTTGGTGCGGCTGGCCAGGGACCTAGTCTCAGACCTGGTCAACGGCTCATATTTCTTAAAAGGTCATTTAACAATTAAAACATAATCAATCAAAATAATTACAAACAGCTAAATGGGAAATTACGTCCGTTGAGTCATGGGGTTCAGGTCAAGGCCCCTTGCTTTCAAGATCACGGATGACCTTGGTGCGGCTAGCCAAGACCCTAGACCCAGACTTGGTCAATGGCTCATGTCTCTTACAGGAAAGACAGACAAATACAAACATAAAAAGCTACAGTCATGTTACCTTCCTGCCAGCATTCTGTTTCCACTTGTCAATAGCTCTTTCCCCACCACATTCCCCTTATTGCTTTCTGCTTAGCCAGTTATGTTGCAATTTCCTTCCTGCTTCGATGGCAGTTCGATGTGGTTGACTTCTCTGCCTCGTGAGCGTGACAGGGGTCACCCGTCCAGAGGCCCATGTTACGGCTTAGCATTCTGCCATTTCGCTGCGGCCTGGCCATTCATCTGGGGAGATGCCCGCAACAGTGTAAGTACGTTTAGAGAAGTTTTGTTGTATTTATTTTGCCTGCTTGCTTCATTTTTTTTTAAACCAGCAATTGGAACCAGTTGAGGAACCTGTGTGTATGTGTATGTGGAGACTTAACCTAGGAGCCCCACTACTATATCGATCCAAATCCAAGACTACTTGGAATTTGACATGAGCCCCCCCCAATTACTAGATTTTATACATAGAAAATTATAACAAACTTATAAATTTTCCATGTATAGTCTCTTAATTAGTGGCTGGTTGCCTTAAGCTCATCCCCTACCACTGCTGCAGTGGTGTGGTAGAGGGGGCAGGCAATGGAGTGGGGGCAAGCAGCTTGACCCCTGTCACTTGCTTCTCCCACACCCTATCTCTTTCTGTCTGTCTCCACCACAGTTGCCTCCCCTGTGCCTGCCCCTCCTGGTACTTGTCCCCTTGCCTGCCATCTTCTCCCATCCCTGCAGCCTTTGGTCCCCCACTTGCCCCACTCTCAGCCTCAGGCCCCTTGCCTCCCATTTTCCCCTCTATTGCCTGCCTCTGCACTACTGCTTACCTTTGCTTCAGCTCTAGTAGGCTCCAGATCCACTCCAGCCTGGGGCATGGAGGATATTTGTGCTCCAGCCCCAGCCTAGCCTGTTAGCTGTTCTGGCTGGGCCCCAGAGTCAAGGCCAGAGCTGCTATGCCCTCCATTGCTACTCCTTTCAGGGCAGACTTGGGCTGCAGCATGCTTGCTCTGTGCCTCAGGCTGGATGGCCAGAGTCAGAACAAGGGTAAGTAATGAGGGGCAAGCGGGGAGAGGCAGGGGGCACAGGTAATGGGGGAGGGGGAAGAGGGGGGAGGCAAAAAACAGCTGTAGTTTTAGCCCTGACCCTGGGCTGGGGCAGGAGCCTGAGCTGTACCATCTGACCCCCTCCCCCCTTTGTACTTGATTCTAGGACAAGGGGCTTTCCCCTGCATGTTATATAGGGGAAAAAATCTCAACCTTGGAACCAAGTAAATATGGTAATTATTTCAAAGCAAATGTGACCTATTGGGTGATTCAGATGGGTAATCACATCTGAATCATATGATTGCAGCCTTCACTTTAAAGAGTACAAAAGACTTTTGAGATTATTAATAGATTAAAAGCAGGTGGCCTCAGAGAAGCATAGCAGATGCTTTACATCAAACCCTTACAAAAGCCCTCATATTCCACTTTGAAGGCCAAAAAAGTAAAAAGATTGAATACACACTATAAAGCATTGCATTTGGTCAAGAAGTAAATTTGTTGGCTTTATTAGGAAAGGAGAATAAAAGAAGTTTGCCTTGTGCCAAGCTAATAAAGGCAGCTTAAGCAATCTATTTTAGGTTCATGCTTGAAAGAGCTCTGTACTTCAAGGACTGCTTCTCATTTAGACACCTAGATTTGTTTAAACCTTTGCTTCCAAGTGTTATTATACCCACTAGGTATAATATGTAAATTATTTAGCTAAAGAAATAGTTAACTGATTTTCATATAGGAAGTGGACTTGCAAGAACACTTTTGTTTATACTTGAGGCATAATGTTTACTCCTTTGTAATCTTTTGCACTTTAGCAAGGTATTTGTAAAGGTTGCTTTATCTTTAAGCACACATTTCCTCCCCACCTCCACACACACTTTTTTTTTTTGGGGG